GTAGAGGGGGCCCTCAGGATGGTGGCCCCGATGCGGACATAGGAGACCACGATGCACATGAACGGCAGGGTGATGCTTGCCACTCCCTCTGTGAAGATGACCAGCTCGTTTAATGTAATATCAGAACTGGACAGCTTGAGTAAGGCAGCGAGGTCACAGAAGAAGTGGGGGACGATGTTGTTTCCATAGAAGGAGAGACGGGCCAGGAGGAGGGTGTGCGAAAGGGCACCAGCAGAGGAGAGGACCCAGGACACTATGACTAGCAGGACACACAGGCTCTGACTCATGATGGTGATGTAATGCAGGGGATGGCAGATGGCCACGTACCTGTCATAGGCCATGGAGGTGAGAAGAAGGCTGTCCAGACAGGCAAGCATTAAGAAGAAATATACCTGGGAAACACACCCAGCATGTGAGATGGATTGGCTGTGTGTCTGCATATTAAAAAGCATCTTTGGGGCTGTAACTGATGTTAGAGAGATGTCAGTGAAGGCCAAGTGGCTGAGGAAGAAGTACATGGGGGTGTGGAGGCGTGAGTCCAGCCTGATGAGCAGGATGATGAGCAGGTTCCCCAGCACCGTGGTCAGGTACATGGCCAAGAACAGGGTATAGAATAAGCCTTGTTTCTCTGGTCGGATGGGGAGCCCCAAGAGGAGGAACTCAGTGGCGCTACTCTGATTATCCTTCTTCATGGTCTTCTCTTTCGCTGGAGGTGGAAAAAAGGAGGACAGTGAAATGAGAGTCATTATGATTATCCCACAATCAATCGCATGCAATTTTATAGTCAATGAATGAATTTTTACCTACAGAACTCATGATTTTGGGGCACAAATGGACAACTTACAATCTGATATTAAGATATTATGTGCACACCTCAAAATCAACACAATCTATTTTTGGAGAAACCACAGATATCAGAAGGATGTTCAAGTGATATATCAGACTCAAATGTGAGGCATACATGAGTTCATGACAGAAATATGAGATTTGAAAATCAGAGTATAAGACTCAGTAACCAGTTATTAGAAACACTGATATAAGTTCTTAAATTGGCCTGTAGACTCATCTTCTGCTCCCCCATTTCTGTCATACACCTTGGCCAGTGTTACCTATTCATGTATCAGATTAAGACAATTGTTTAGTTTTAGTCTCAGCCTATCAAGCAATGTTGGGGTTAAGCAGGTTCTTGTTCTTGTTATGAATGCATGATGCCCTCAGCAATAACCATAAGAAAACATGAAACGATTCAATGTTTATTACTTACAGTACTGTCAATTATTAAAATCACCCTTGGGCCACACAGTAAGATCATGATGTTGATAAGGGCTCTTGGGTCTAGGTTCTGCTGTTATTGAGTTGATGGCACCCAGGGCTTCTTGAACTCAGTATATTGATGAAATTAAGCCTTTGGAACTTGCGTATAAGGCACAAAGAGAAGAGCAAGCAATATAAGTGATCAGTCCTATATATCATCCCAGGAGCATCATGGAAGGGGGTTAGGGGGATGGTTCCTTATCTATCCCTGTGTGTTTACTTTAGATAGTTGTCATTAAAGTAGATTCCTCTGCAATCAAAGCTTAAGTCAGGGACCTGCATTACAAAAAAGAAAACCAACTGACAGAGCTTAACTCCCTCAACCCAGAGGGCTGCTTGGATTGCCTAGATAATAAGATCGGTGGAAACATGACATGGAGATAGTCAATGCAAGGGCAGGAAGGACAAGAACTACATCAGGGCATGAAAGGACAAGTGACATAGCATGTAATATATATCTGTGTACATACACACACACATTCATATATGTGTATAAGTATAGGATAAATTCCTAGAAATGTCATTGGGGACATTCATATTAAAAATTTTGGTAGATATTATTGTACGAGTGCCAGGTAGTAAGGAAATCTGTTAATATGGGCTCTTTAAAATAAGTCCTGGCCCTCCCTGATGGTGCAACAGGTTAAAGCGCAGCACTGTGAATCTATTTGCAGCCACTGCAGCACAAGCTCATCCCCAGCTCTGGAACTGGCCACATGGTGCAGCATACCTCCCTTGACCCACCTGCTGCTCCCCTCAGCAGTGTATTTCAGTCAATTGCCTGTTCTGATCCCCACTCTGTCTCTGGTGAATTCTCTCACCCCCTCACACCTCTGACCTGGACCCCAGTTTTTGTATGCAAAAATAAATACATATTTTTAAAAGATTTTATTTATTTATGCATATAGAAATGGGGTCCAGGTCAGAGGTGCAGGGGCAGCAAGAGTATTTACCAGAGACAGAGTGGGGAGGAGAACAGGCAGATTGACAAAGTACACTGCTGAGGGGAGCAGCAGGTGAGACAAGAGAGGTCTGCTGCACCATGTGGATCACCTCTGGGGCAGGAATTGAACTCACACTGAAATGGCCATGGCTTGGCTTAGATTTCTAGTGCAGCACTCAACCTGCTATGTCACCATGGAGGGCCATAAATAAATACATCTTTAAAATTTAATATAAAACAAGTCCTCAGTAAGAGCTTATTGACTACAAAAAAAAATGGACATATTAGTGAAATGTTTGGAAAAGACTGGGCTGTGGTGTTTGAGGAACTGAGAAAATTTTGGAGAATGTCCAGCATGGGAAAGTTATGGAGATAGCAAATTCCCTAGAAATTGGAATATGTAAGGCCTTTTCTTATATAATGGAGTGTTTTCATTTTACTCTAAATCAAACACTATGACAAGATTGAAAAACTTAATACTATGCTCACTGCTGGGTATAGAAAAGATTACAGCTAGGCAGCAGTTCTTTAGGAATCTCAATAGGAGGCTATTGCAGTCATTCAAATAGAAAATAAAACCTCTAATACCTGGATCTTATAGGCACAAATGAAGATAATTTCAAATCAGATTTGGGAGAAAATATGGAGGAAAACCCATCAAGTCTTAGTGATGAATAAGAGCTAAGCAATAAGAGATAGAATTTCCCTTAGCTTGTTTAAAAATGAAAAACAGGCCCTCCCTGGTGGCACAGTGGGTTAAAGCACAACACTGAGAAGCTTAAGCCACTTCCACCTGAGTTCGATCCCCGCCTGCCCCGGAGGTGACCACATGGCGCGGCAGACCTCTCCTGACCCGCCCGCTGCTCCCCTCAGCAGTGTACTTCTTCGATCTGCCTGTTCTGCACCCCACTCTGTCCCTGGTGAATCCTCTCACCCTCCACATCTCTGACCTGTACCCCAGTTCAGTATGAATAAATAAATAAATCTTTAAAAAAAATGAAAAACAGTTTGAGACAAAGTCTGATTTATGTAGTTATCTGTTGTACCCTGGTGTAAGGAGAGTCATGCAGGTATCAAGAATACATACACACATTTTCCCTGTCTCTCTCACTCAACATCCATCATACTAAAAAATATGAATTCAACTTTACTCTGACAGTGCCTGTTAGGTGATGAGCACATACCTTCCACGAGAAGACCTGAGCTTCTCCCACTATTTCTCTGTAGAAAATGCAGAACACAATGAAGAGATGAGGTCTTCAAGGGTGTGAAAGATGCATTGCAACAGGGAGAAGAATTATAGTTCAAAACCAAATAAGAGATATATGGAAACACGCTATTTACTGGTTATGATTCCTAAGCCACGGTGTAGTTTTTAACCTCACAAATCACAGAGATGGCCCTGGAGAGTATACACCAGTTTCAAATTAGAGGCAAACAGTAAATAATTGCTTCTTTGCCTTTGGTTCCCTGGAGGGAAGAACCATTTGTTGGTAGAGGGCAATAGAATTCACCCTTGGAGAAATGATAATAACCCCAAGGCAGCTAGCAGGAATTTGGCAGTTCACAAAGCTTTTTGCCTTCTCTGTTGTCATGGGGTAAAGTGAATGTGAGCCCCTGACAGATCAATCTGAGAACGGACTGAGTGCACCGAAGTGTCCATTATTCCAAGAACACTAGGAATACACTTAACAGCTTTGACACTGAGGAGGCATTTACATCCCATCACAGCAGCGGAATCTGGGAGAAAGAAATATGGCCACTCTACAGCTTGATCTTTTGCCCCAAAAAAGTACAGTGAGCACTCTCTTGGAGATATTTTATCAAAATAGCACAGAATAACCACTCAAGATATGCTTCTTACCAACCCTCTTACAAATTTGATTCCAGATTTATTGAGATCACATTTAGTCCCTCTCTCCCAAGTCAGGCACAGGATGAGTATCATGTTGTCAATATTTGAAGGGAAGCTGTGTGAATATTCATTAGCCTTAATAATTATTCTGTTTTGTGTTAAAAATCTGTATTGGTGCTGCTGTTTGATATCTGAAAGATATTTAATCTTCAGAAACAGTTTCCTGTAGATCATTGTTGATAATCTGTGGCTTGGGCGCAGGGGAATGGGGTGAGGGTGCGGGGGTGTTCATTTCCTTTCTGGGAGATAATGGTGAGCTGGAGTGAGGCAGAAGGAAAATACAGAGATGATGCTAAGAGGTCGCCACGACTAGGTAGTATTTCAGGGCCCTGGATGTGTGTTACGTGAGATGCCTGCCTCTCAGCCCTATCCTGATGTTAAGGGGAAGGCTGTCCTAAAGGAACTATGCAGAGTCTTATGGACTCCACCCCCTACTCCAGCTTTCTGGACCCCACACCATACTCCAGGAATTGGAAACTACAACTCCCAGCAGTACCAGGGAGAGAACTGCGAGGACCCAAGGGTGGAGCTAGCAGGAATGAATTCTGGGACATTTGGGGCATAAATAGGGCGCGATTGCATCTCTCCCTCTCTCGCTCAGGTAATGGCTTTCCAGGCAGTGTAACTTGGTGTGTTCAGTCAGCCTAGCCATAAGGTATTCCAGTTACTTTGTATCCTGCTCTTTCCCTGGGTTGTTTCCTGTTCCTTTCTCCTTTTGTAAATAAACCCATTATTGACCCTTTTGTGTGCACCTGCAGTATAACTGAATTTTGAGCGGGCCGGTGAGGCCCACAGACAGGCGGCCCAGTCCACTCTGGGCTTCCCTGTAACACTTACAGAATAGCCCCATAGCTTTTTCACAGATGTCTGGGCATTTTTCGTTGGTGCCCCTATGCTGGGTGAGTCCAATATGGGAATCTACCGAGACGTGTTCCTCAGTTCTCTATAGCCTTGTGGATCTTCTGGGTGTAAACATTACTAGTGCTCAAAGCTAGATGTTTAGACGATTTACTTTTTAGGCCTGGGCCTTAAAAAGTGGAGCCCAATGTGAGATCCAAACCCTCTGGTCCTTAGGCAGAAGCTGAGGTGTTGAGGTATGTTGTGACTGGAGTGCCGTGCCATGGGTGAGATGTACAGTGAGATCGTGGCTCTGCCTCTCCTACCTGCTAAGATACAGGAGGTTGGTGGGTTTTGTTCTCCCCTGGTATGCAGGAGCTGCTAAATTGTTTTTGCTTTTTTGTTCCTAAGGAAATTGTTCTAAATATAGCAATGAATTCAGTAAATTAGGCAGGAAATGACTTTAGGATCTTTCTGTTAACATCTTAAATCTATTTGGTACATTTGGTACAACTGAACCAGTATCTATTTTTAAGTAAGGTACAGAGATTGCTGTAGGGTTTACTCTGTGTTCTACATTTTTATTCGGAGACAAAATATCCATTGTGATAGCACCATACTGAATAGTTGACTGCCCCAAAAGTCTCCCTTCTGGACCTTTAATCCTTCTTCACTTTCTATCC